TTTTTTTTTTTTTTGTTTGTGTGTTAGGCTCTAGGCTACTAGTAGTGTTGACCTGGTGTAGTTCTCCAACTAGATTCAACTGGGTAGTTGATTTATTCGTCCATTTAGACGGTTTCTAGTCTATAATTATGTGTTTTTTGTATAATGTTTGACATTACGAAGAAAAAAACTAATGATTAAATGAATAAAGCAACCAATCAAGGGAACAAAACAACTAATCAATCAACTAATAATGAATAAATATAACAATAGATGAACCAGAGAGTCAGGGATGATCATTTCCAATTCGAGATGCAAATACCAAACAATGATTTGTTTAGTAAAATGATTCAACAAACTCGCATGTCTAGAGATTTATCTTCAGTAATCATCTACAACATAATAACAAACATAAATGACACATTCATCAAATAATCTGGCACATGAGCAATACACTTACGAATATGCTTATACTATATGATCCTAGGTCGAATAACTTATCCCATCCCCTTTCGATTTTAAAAGTTATTTAGCTAGATTAGGCGGTGATCAATCAACTAACCCTAATAATCAAACAATCCACAAAAGTTGAAATTTAAATAGACTGATAATCACGAGAAAAAAACAATTCATTCGGATTGTATTCTTATTACTCTAAATCGTGAACTCACATTTTCAACCAACAATGATAATAAAGACACAAAAAGTTACAATAATGAGAAATCAAAGACTTTGTTTTCCATGTGGTCGACTCTAAAATTTTGAGCACAAACAAAAACAAAAATGAAAAAATTCATACAAAAAACTATTTATAAACGATTTTGGTGCTCACGATATTTTCAATGATCTTGGGTTGTTCTTATTGTCTTCAAGAATGTCATTGTGATCTAGTACTAGCTGTTACTTAAATGGGTTCAGAACGAGGCCGAAAAATCCGTCTAGGTGCGTTCGAGGGCCCTGGCATGCATGACACTCGTTCCGAACACAACACAACAGAGCCCCCTGGAGTTGGGCGTAAGCGTGCCTCGCACGCGTGACTTGGTACCTTTTTAGGTGATGCTCGGGCATGGCTTGGGCGATGCCCGAGGTGTTGCTCGGATGATGTTAGGGAGTGCTCGGGCGACGTCAGGATGTGCTTGGGCGATGTTGAGATTTGCTATATGAAATTATCTGAATGAGATTTTTCTAAAACAAAAATATAAAAGCAGATGTAAAATGCATAAAATACTAAATTAACATAAGAACACAAACCAAGCTGAATCAACTAAATATATCCAAAAAATTATAAAACAAACTAAAAAGAATTTGAATTAATACTATAAAAACAAACAAAATTATAACAAAAACATTTAAAACAAACTATATATAATAAGAGACAATTTAAATAATTATAAGAAAACACTGATTGATCAAAAGTGATTGGAAATTTGTATCCAAGCACACCCTTAATAACTCGGGCATCAAACCCATCAATTTTTCTTCCATTAGAGTTCCAAATGGGTTAAGCAAAAACTCCATGAATTAACTATATTTTGGACGATACAACGTGGTTCAATAAGCCGATATTAGTATTGTTAATCGAAACGAGCCACTCGTAAGCTCAATTCGTTAAAACTCAAGTTTTACTCGTCTTTTTTGATAAACGAGAAGAGCAAGGAACTATTTAGTACACCCATAATGTGTCAAAGTCAAATTTTACATATATGTCATATAAATGGACTTAAGTCATGAATGACAAGGACAAATACAACTAAAAAAACCCAAAAGCTATCCGGTGCACAAATAAAATAGTAGCGGGAAAATTTCACTTTTGGTACCCCAAGTTTACATACTTTTCGGTTTTGATACCCATGATTTCAACTTAATCATTTTCAGCCACTCAAGTATTCAAAATCCATTAATATTGCCCAAATCGTCAGTTGACCGTGAGTCAACTGACCTTCACCTTCTATAGTCGGTTGCTTTCTCCAAAGAAACCAAAATAATCGGTTTCCCTTAATTTCTCCAATTGACCAGACCTAATTGAAATGAAAAAAACCCTAACATTTTACCTGTGGAAAAATTTCTTTCATTTATCGCAATTGAGTGGGTAATTGAGTGGTGTATTGGTGAATTGTGAGCATCCATATCAGATTTAGGACGAGCATATTCAGATTTGCGACGAGCATATTCAGAACTGCGACAACCCATCTGACTCATGGCAAACAGGATTATCGTGGGTTGCAATCTCAATACGGTAAGTTTTTTCACTTCAATTTGTCATAAATTTTTTGAATTAATGGAAATTATATGGTTAATTTTGAGGGATATCCATATTATTTGATTATGGTGAGAGTACCCCTAAAAATTAGGGGTTTTTTTTTTCAGTTGAACAAATTAGGGGTTTTTCGATTATCCGTGATAGATGCATACTCTTTTTCAATGGAAATTATATGGTTAATTTTGAGGTATCCATATTATCTGATTATGGTGAGAGTACCCTTAAAAATTAGGTTTTTTTTTTTT